AAGGAGACTCTGGCTGTCAGTAACTGTAAGAGAGGCTAATTATCTTGCCCAAGGTCACCCATATAGCAAGTGGCAGAGCTGGAATTGATCTTAAGAAGTCTTAACCTCAACAATGTACAATTTCATAATGTGAAAACTGAATGACAAAAGTATACAGTATCAGGGGCAAGACAAAGTCTCTGGATCCTGGAAAATTTCCCTGTCTGCAAATCAGAATGGGAAAAAGAATTCAGAAATTGATACTGTGAGTCAGTTCAATATTCAATAGCTCTGGTAAAATAACCTAATGATACTTAATCTGCCAGATTATACCAGGGAACAGCATGTGGGGCCATAATACTCTAGACTGATGTACCCTTCCTGCTATTTGTTTCTGAGTTTGCAGGTAAATATGAGAGTAAATCACAGCCAGATGCAGGTTCTGGGACAGGGCAATGTTCCTTTAAACGTGGGGAACTGGTGCCCTGCAATGATGATTTTGATATTGGTGTGTAGGATGAGAGGGGAAATATACAGGAAACAGTATAACCAGTTAGTATTCTGCCATGGTGATCCATAAATGAAGCAATGAAGCTTAAAATGTCCAAATCCAGTCCCTTGACAAATCTATCTCTCTACACCCTTGTCTTCCTTTTCCATCCAGTCATCCCACTCACTCACTTCCCTTTCAGAGCTTTATCCCATTTTGGTTCCTTCCCTTTATGCCACAGGTTGAAAGATCATTTCTGAAACACCCAATCTATTTGTCATCGCTGTCAGTACTCTGCTCTGTCTGTCTATACTGAAGCAGAGTTTCCCTCTCAAAGCCCAAGAGATGGGAAATATTTACACTTGGAAATTTTTCATATTTGGAAACAAAGGTGTCACTATAACAGAATATTCCTGATGAGGTTTCATTCTATAAAATGATGGTGGAAAGATTTGCTTAGAATTGTGCATTTATTCCATTTTAGGAGTCTTGCAAATTGAAAACTATATTTTAAAAAAGCAACAGAAATCCCAAGTCTAACTTTTGGGGAAATTTACATCTTATTTAATAAAAGAGAAACATGCAAATCAACTGTACCTCCGTGACACCCACAAGCCATGCCCACAAGCCAATCAGGAGCGAGTATGCAAATAAACCCAACAAAGATGGTGGTGGCCACGGAGCTGGAGTGAACAGGAGGCTTGGGTTACCCCTGGCGATGGAGGAAGCCAAGCTTCCCACCTGCCCTGGCCAGCCATGGGCTCCGCTCAAGGTTACAAAGTTTCAATTATAGAAGATAAATAAATCCCAAATACCTGCTTCCAGCTGCCATGGCCTCTGCTCAAGGAGGGGCTGGAAACCTGAGTTGCCTGGGGCCGTGGCCAGCCGGCAAACAGCCATCAGCCCCTCACCCAGACTGGCCAAGCCCCCCAGCGGGGACCCCCACCCCCCCCGGGGGGGGTGGGGGTCCCCGCTGGGGGGCTTGGCCAGCCTACAAGCAGCCATCAGCCCCTCACCCTAGTGGGGACACCCACCCTGAATGGGGTGTGGCCAGCCTGCAAACAGCCCTCAGCCCCTCACCCAGGCTGGCCATGCCCCCCAGTGGGGACCCTCACCACATGGGGGCGTGGCCAGTCTGAAAACCACCACAGGCCCCTCGCCCAGGCTGCCCCATGCCCCAAGGGAACCCCCACCCTGATCTGGGACACCCTTCAGGGCAAACCAGCCGGCCCCCACCCATGCAATGTATTATATAGCATGGTAACTATCTATACTAATAAAAGGGTAATATGCTAATTAGACTGGGAGACCTTCCAGGAGACCTTCTGGATGTTCTGGACAAAGCCATGGTTGCGGGGCCGAGGTAGAGGTGGTTAGAGGCCAAGAGGGGAGGGCAGTTGTGGGTGATCAGTTTGGTGGGGGGTGGGGCCGTTAGGGGTAAGCAGACCATCAGGAGGAACAATTGGGGGCAAACAGGCCATCAGTGGGGGTCAGTTGGAGGTGATCAGGACAGCAAGCAAGCCTCATGTTCACTTCAGCTGCATGGCTGCCGGCATTTTGGAGTGAGCAGGCCAGCAGGGGGGCAGTTGGGGGTGAGCAGGCCAGTGGGGTGGGTGATCAGAACAGCAGGGGGGCAGTTGGGGGTGATCAGGCTGGTGGGGGGCATTTGGGGGCAAGGAGGCTGGCAGCAGGGGGCAGTTGGGGGCGAGCAGGCCGGCAGACAGAGTGGTTAGGGGCAATCAGGCAGGCAGGCAGGCAGGTGAGCAGTTAGGAGCCAGCAGTGCCAGATTGCGAGAGGGATGTCTGACTGCTGGTTTAGGCCTGATCCCTGTAAACCGGCAGTAGGACATCCTTTGAGGGATCTTAGATTGGAGAGGGTGCAGGCCGGGCTGAGGAACACCCCCTCCCCCGTGCATGAATTTCATGCACTGGGCCATTAGTTTATTTAATAAGAATCATTGAATAAAGTGAGAGGCAATGAGTGTAAAAAATTTTGGGGAAATTTCTAAAGAGCACAGAATGTAATAAATGTAATAAACGTGTCAAAGATTCACACTAATGAAAAGGCATAAGAATATAATTAGTATTAAAATGTCCCCCCTATAGAAGTCACAAAAACATTGCCTTACAAATGGGCGAGTAAAAGCTGATGTCAAAATGGAATCTTATTCTCAAAGAACTCATATTGGAGAGAAATACTGTGATTATAGTGTAGAAAAGTCTTCAATCCAGATCCTATTTCCACTGGAACATATAATTCATACTGGGGAGAAATCATTAGAAGCCAATGAATGTGAGAGGGCCTACAAGTATAGCTTAGCTTTTATACAACATAAAAGAAACTATGCAGGTAGAATGCTTATAAATTCTAAAAATTTGAAAAAACTTTATTTAGGAGTTCAAATTGACTGATTGGACACCATACAATGTAAATAGGGGAAAACCTTCAGGGAATTGTGAACTCCACTGAGCATCAAAGAAATGATCAAAGGGAGAGAACTTATGTAGACATGGAATGTGGAAAAGCCCTCTTCCAGAAGTCAAACCTTTGAATACATTGGAGAATTCAGAAAGGGACCACATAAGTGTACTAAATATGATAATGCCTTTAGGAATAGAGGATGTCCACTGCACACAGAATGGCTCATGCTGTTGAATCATGGACAGTGGATTAATGTGAGAAGGTTGCATAGAAGAAGACAGAACTCACTGTGCATCAGGGAATTTATGTCAGAGACAGGTAGTAATGAATTTGGGGAGTATGAAAGTTTTCAGCAGGAAGCCAGGACTCTACTTCACATCATAGATTATATAGGGAGAATTCCTTCAAATGTGGTAAAGCTTTTACTAAGAAATCATCTGAACTCTTGAGTCATAGAGTTCAGAATGGGGACAACCATTCTCTGATACAAAAAATGTAACAAATGTGGAAAAATTTTCAACTAGAAATCAAGATTTATAGCACACTAGAGAATTCAGACTGGGATAAACACCAAGAAAACAGTACATGCAGGAAGACCTTCATTTGGAGATCAGAACTCATTGACTCTCTACAAGGTCATATAGGAGAACAAAAAAACTATAAAAGCACTACTATGGAAAAACCTTCAGCAAGAAAACACAATTCATTATACAAAAGAAAACCCACACAGGGAAGAAGCCCTATGAAATAATAAATTTGGGAAATCATTCAGTAATATATAAAACTTCATAATTAACAATGCAAAGAAACAAACCCTGGGAATGCAACATGTGTGAGAAAGGAGAATCTGTATGCTTTGTATGTTACTCTGAGGAGACACCCTATTAATTTAAAAAATGCAGAAACACCTAGTCAAAACTTATATGCACCAGAGAGTATGTATAGGAAATAGTCTCTATGTCATATGAAGTGTGGTTGATCTTCAGATCATTTCCAGACATTAGATACTAGAGAATTCACACTAACAAAAAGAGTCAGTTTTAAATTTAAATTCTACCCCAAGGAAATAAAATTAAATCACTTAAACCAAGCTTTTCCTTAAAAAAATTACTGAGAAATAAACACCCATGCATCTGTAGTGCAAGCATCTTCCTCCCCATGCCTATGCTTGCCTTTCAAAGGGGACTTCCCAGTGAGTGTTGGAAAAGAAGCATTTTATATTCATCCTACATTATCCACTTGGAATTAATCTTCACTATGTACACAACTCTTTTTGTCACTGGTTCCACCCTGGAACTCCTGAAAACAATCCCTCAGGCATCAGAGGAGGGCAAATGCCATACTTGTTAGTTTATTCTCACACCACTCACACCACACAAGTGCATCTATTAGAGGTCATTTAAGGGAGTACAGATGGGAAAGGAAAAAAACTGTACTCTGAGTGTGACACCCCTCAGATCCCAGGGGACAAGATTCTAAGGAAAATGCCCTCACACAAGTAACTTTGTGGGGTGCACCTGGTACCTCTGCTCACCTCCCTGTCCCTGCAGGCCCATCCTCTCTCACAGGGATCTCACCCAAGGCTCCATCCGCCTGTGCCAAGCCCAGGTTGCTCAGTCAAGTACACAGATCCACAGATCTGCTTTTGTGGAAACTGTTCCTCCCCAACTCCAGCCCAGTATTTCACTCTGGGGCCTGCACATTCTCACACAGGGCCCAGTCCCTATGTTCTAGTGGTTGAAGAAGGAGTGGGAATATCACTCACAATGGCCAAGCCCAGGCAGTCATTGTGATCTCTCAACTTCAAACCAGAGAGTGTAAGTTGAGTCTCTCTCTAGAAATATAAGCCTTGCCATGGCCATTTCCCACCATGGGTAGAAAGTCTAGTCTGCAGTGAGGAAATATGCCAACATGCACAGAAAAAAAGGGATAACATTGGCATGTGGGCAGGTCTTTCTGGAGGCCAGCCTCAAGATAGGTCCTGTTGGGCATAGCCTCCGTGGACCCCTTCTCTGATTCACTGCATGCCTGGACTCCTCACAGTTCCCACTGTGAAGCAATGGAAAGAAAAGAAGGCTTCTCACTACTTGGGGGCTTCTGTGTCCTCACCCTTGGGTGGGGCTGCTACTGTGGAGGTTGCTTTGAGGCTCCGCTTCCGCTTCTGTACGTTCTGCTCCGGGTGGAACAAGATGACATAGGTTTTGGGTGCATAGAGCATGCCGAGGGACACCGATGCACTCAGGCTCAGGGACACAGTCAGTGTGGTGGTTTGAATGTATATCTGAGACATGGAAAAAGGGACCAGGTGGGACTCAGCACTGTTTTCTCTTACCCCCACCTCCACATAGCCGTGGAATGAGCACTTAGAAAAGGACAACTGCATAAGCAAAGGCCCTGTGGCATGAAGAAGGAATAGTCACAGTGTGGCTCCAGTGTAGGCAGGATGGAGGGTGAGTGACATGGCACTGAGTGGACCAGTGTCTGAGGGAAGACAGTTTTATTCACAGAAAGTGACACCTGGGGAAATGGTCCATATGGCTAAAAAGGTCTAGAAGATATTAATGAATGAATGGACATGTTTTCAAATGTACAAATGAATGAACAAACTGAGATTGAATAAAGGTAAAAGTGAGCAAACATATAGATGAATAAACAAATGTTCTATACAAATGAATAGATGAGTGAATAATGATCAAACAAATAGATCAATGGATCAGTAGATAGAAAGTATATGAAGTAATAATTGAATGAAAGATTAATCAATGGTTAGAAGTATGGATGAATGAATGGCTGAATGAACAAGCAGAGGGCAATTGGAAAGATAAGCAAATGAGCATGTATTTAAGTACAGGAATAAATCAACCAACCAAGCTGGGTTCATATGTGTAACCCAGCTCTTGGGACAATTGAGCCCTTCCTTCTGTGACAGAAGGTAGGAAACAAATGAGGTAGTGAAACCAATGAAAGACCCCAAATTACCTTTTCAGCTGACTGCGCAGTGCCAAAGAAGATAGGCACAAAAGCCAGCCAGATGATGCAGGTGGTGTACATGGTGAAGCCAATGGGCTTGGCCTCATTGAAGGTCTCAGGCACACCACGGGCCTTGATGGCATACACTGTGCATGTGACCATGAGTAGGAGGCTGTAACCCAGGCAGCCGATGAGAGATAGATCTGACATGTCGCACTTGAGCACCCCTCTGGCTTGCTCTGGGTCCACCGTCCGCTGCTCCTCATAGTCGATCACGCTGTGTGGGGGCTGGGCCCCTAGCCATGCCATCACTCCCACCACCTACAGGAGACAACATCATATCAGGGACACACTAAGACTGGCCACCTACTGAGGACTCTGGCAGGTTAGGGTCCCCTGGAGGCTCCTGACCTACTGGGAGGGGATGCTTGGGTCTGAGAGAACCACTATGGAGAGAAGAGGGCCTTCCAGGAGGGGAATACTCAGGCCTGTGACATGGTCCAGTAGAGAAGGGGCTGCAGTGGAGGTATGTGCTAACAATGTCAGGGCTGGTTGGGTAAGGGGCCCCTGGACATCCTCTTCCTATATTCCAGCCATTACCAATGTCATTTACTGATCCCTGCAAGATGCAGTAACTGCAGACAGAATCTGTGGAATTTTGATCCTGAATGTCTTCTCTATCTATAGAATGGGAATCATCATAATCTGTTTTAAGAACACGATGCCAGCTTGGAGGGGAAATGGTGTATGTACCACTGGTTAAGGGCTAGGCCCAGCAGAGATGTTCTCTCCTCACAACCATCCAGTAGGCAGTATCACCTTCAGTCTGTAAATGTGAAACACTAGCTTGTTTCTATATAACAGCATGGCAAACCTATTTCCTGAGGACCCCCTTTCTTCTTCAGATCCAGAGAACTGTTGAACAGGATGTAATGAAATAATGTGTGAATGCACAATGCAGCCTAAATTGAAGAGGCCCTTAATGGAGAATTGTAAGGATGTTAGGAGTTGATGCTGGGCAGCTGGGAGGTTATCAGAGTAAAACACAGGTCCTAACAATGAGGAAATGGAGCTTCAATTTCCTCAATGACAGGAGATATGACTTTGAGCTAAGGGCAGCTGGGGAGCAGGAAATAAAACACCTGCATAAAGTCAGGACCCTGAAAGGGCTGCCCATATGTTCATTCCCTGCACAAGTGTGTCTGATTTAGGGAGAGGGTATAGGGAGGTGAGGTAGGTCTGTGCACCTGGAGCAGGGCTGTGTGATCCTGGAGGAGGGGATGCTTTATAATAATTTGTACAACCAGAAGGAACATCTTTTTTGTGATTCTCCCAAAGGCAGCAGCTTCATGAACAAGAGACTAATAAAATGTCATGGCATCCACTGTTCAAAAGGCAGCATGGAGGCTTTTCTTAGAGCAAGACTCCAGGTGGGGGACAAACGTTTCCCATGAGTAACTAACACTCAAGGCCTGTGATACGCAGGAGTAGCAAGCAAAATGTAGCTCACTGATTTTGCATCCCCTGTAATTGATAAAGAATTAGGATCCAACACATGTAACTAACTCCTACAAAATTACAGAAAATGACCAAGCATAGGAATAGGCATACCACAGAAGAGGACACTGCAAAGGCCATTGTACTAGCAACGAAGTGAGGCAAATTGAAACAACAGTGAGATACCATTGGACATCCATCATTTTGGTATATAACCTAGTAAAACTGAAAGTGTGCCTCTTTGAAAGGGTCCAAGGTTTCTGGAAATGATGGCATAATGTGGGGATCCCCTGGGTGAGCTGGGGGCACTGATGTATTCTAAGCATCTCTGTCTTGTGTCATGGGGTTTTCAGGCAGAGAGGCAGTGAGATGCCTTTTCAGGATGAGCTGGGCACTGAGATTTTGGCCCTCCCTGGTAGAGGAGGCTCACGCCCTGCATGTGCAGGAAGCGTCTTCCAGCTGTGAACTGCATGGACCGAGGCCTGTGGGTAGGATGAACATGATACATGCATGGCTGGGTAGGGAGAAGGGCTCACTTGGAATGGAGAGCATGCTGACCACCTGGCCCTGAGAACTGGGTTAGCTCTACAGTGTCACACAATGTCATACACCTTTCTCTTAGTACCTTTTCTCTTAGTACCCTTTGCACAGAAAACATCCAGGGCTTTCCCAGCCACAGAATCATTTTCAAAGCTGTGGAAAGACCCAAAGGAACTCTGCTTTTGCTGCCCATACATCATGAAATATGGCCATTTATGGAACAAGATGCTCCACTCCACAGCTAGGTACATTACTGGGGCCCTGAGACTCTCACCAGGGACTGGGCAGCAGTAACTCCCTTTATGGAAACAGATTCTTTGCTTGTGGAAAATGTATCAGATATTTCTTTGCTTTATTTTTTTTATATGGGAACCCATTTTCCTTCCAGGACGAAGTGGAGGAATGGCTGCTCTTAACTGAGTTCTCCTCATAGGAGAAGGGCAGGGCCCTCTCTCCCAAGGCTATATGTTTTTCCAAAATAGAAGAGTGACTCTCTGAGTAGAGGTCAGCGCCTCCCCATCTGGAGTCTGGGGACCAACCTGCACGGAGGTGAGGCCGAAGGTGATGACCAGCTGCGAGGTGGGGCTGATGAAGGGCGGGGGCGTGACAGAGCGCTTCCCCTGTTCGAAGATACGGTAGATGCGGTTGGTCTTGGTGAACAGGGCAGAGTAGCTGAGGGTGGTGCCCAGGCCGAGGAAGAGTCTCCGAGCAGCGCAGACGGCCGCCCCAGGCTCGGCCACCATGAGGAAGGTGATGGCATAGATGAGGAAGATGCCGGTGAGCAGCACGTAGCTGAGCTCTCGGCCTGAGGCGCGGACGATGGGTGTGTTGTTGTGCCTTACGAAGGTGGCCACCACTGCGGTGGTGGCCGTGATGCCCAGCACCGCCAGGAGGAGCGGCGGGGCGGCCCAGGGAGAGGCCCAGGTGAGGCGCACCACCGGTGTGGGGCGGCAGCCGGTGTGGTTGCGCAGGGGCCGCATGTCCCCTGGGCAGACCTCGCAGGTGAACTCATCCACCTGGAAATGGTACCCGTCGCAGGCCTCGCAGTGCCAACAGCAGGGCACGCCCTTCACCATCTTCTTCCGCTCCCCAGGCCTACAGGGGAGGCTGCACTGAGATGCCGGCACTTCCCATGGGTCTCCTGACCACTGCAGGGCGTCCATCTGCAACATGGGACACAGGGCCTTTGCCCTCCGCTGCCAGGACTGGCGGGCCCGCCTCCCACACCCCGAGGTCGCATGTCACTCACGTCCAGCCTGAGCGTCTCCGCCCACTGGCCCACGCTCTGGTATCCGCCACTGCCTGCACTGCCGTTGGACGCCTGGTACTGGAAGATGTCATATCTCCCGGGCGCATCCCCATTCTCATTGAACATCACTGGGGTTCCTGCGCTGCCTGGAGGGAGAGCCTGGCATCCTCAGTGGTTCTCCAGCCCATCCCAGCCAGCCTCCTGGAGAGGCCAAAGGCCCCGCCAGGATAAAGGAAGAGCTCAACACGCACACGCAAAGATGCTCAACATCAGGGAAATGCCAAGCAAAACCACAGTGAGATACCACCTCCTGCCCAAACATCAGAAAATACCAAGGATCAGCCAGGACACAGAGAAACTGGAACCTTATGCGTTGCTGGTAGGAGCCTTGTGCAGTCAGGTGGAAAACAGTTTGGTGGATCTCAAACAGTATGGTAGAATTACCACATGACCCAGCAATTCCACTTCTAGGTATAAACACAAAGGAGCTAAACACAGGAACTCAAAGAGATACTTGAACACTCATGTTCATAGCAGCATTATTCACAACAGCCCAAAGGTGGAAGCGACCATGTGTCATTGGGGGTTGAATGGATAAACAAAAAGTGTTTATCCATACAATGGAATATTAGTCAGCCTTAAAAAAGGAAATTCAGACACACGTACAACATGAATGAACCTTGAGGACATTGTGCTAAGTGAAATAAGCCAGTCACAAAAAGACAAATCCTGCATGATTCCACCCATATGAGGTATTTAAAACAGTCAAATTAATAGAAACAGAAAGTAGAATGGTGGTTGCCATGGGAGGGGGGACTGGAAAGTTGTTTAACAGGATAACAGTTTCAGTTTTGCAAAATGAAAAGAGTTTTGGAGATTGGTTGCATAACAATGTACATGACTACACTGTACACTTAAAAGTAGTTAAGATGGTAAATATACTATATTAAGCTATATGTATGTTACCACAATTATAAAAGAAAATAGAAATCTTAACTGTTCAGGTGAAAGGATGAGTTCAGACTTGAATAAAGGTCTGAGTGTTGACATAAAATTTGTACTAATTTGGCCAGCTTTAATTCTTTTAGAGGCTTGTTCTGTTAGCTTGTAAAGTTGGTCTGGAGTGAAATTCAGCTGTGCTATTTAGCAGAGAGCTTGGCAAAGAGAAGGCGCTCAATATTTGGTGGACGAATAGTTTTAATTTTCTAAAGGACAGTTATTGTACAAGAATTGTATCTGTCCCCACAAACCACAAGCACATCCAAGTCCATTGGGCCTTTTCAGAGCCCCGGCCATGTGCCAGGCCCTCTGCTGGTACAAGGGGACACATCAGACTGGTGCCCAGTGCTCAGGCAGTGCAGGAGCTAATTGGGGCAGCATTTGGAAGCTCGAGACTCACAGTGAGCAGCATGTCCGTGTCATAGGCAGTGCCTCCTCACTGTATGCACTGTGCCCTGAGAGACCAGATGCCTTCAAGCTCTGTGCAGTGAAGGGGAGAGTTGTGTGTGACCTGCTGAGGGTTTCAGGCAGAAGGAGTCACAGAGAAATTCACCAACACCAGGATTTTTCAAGTTGGGAAAGGGGGTGCTGAAGCCTGAGAAAGGAGGAGTGTTAAAAAGTGGTCCTCATAACTTGGCTCAAGTCCCCAGCTCACAGGTGCAGGTGCTCCCTATACCATGCCGCCTCTCCCATCCCTTTGCTCCCCACTCATCCAGGTCCCACAGAGAAATCCATCTCAGGGGACTTCCCCTCTCTCACATAAGAGTTCTGGTATCCACTCACCATTGAAGCGGACTGCCCGAATATACTGCAACAGTGTCCGCCCATCGGTGGGCTCCATTGCTGGGCACAGGCCTGTATGCCCAGGACAGAGCGCCTGGTGCATGCTGTGTAGGGCATGGGCAATGGCGTACACTGCGTCGATCACAAACTGCACCTTCCCCTCCTGTTCGTAGGTAGAGTCCCGGCCGATGCGTTCCTCACCTGTCCTAGGGATGCCCAGAGGAAATGCGCCTGGCCCCCAGATACCTAAACTGGCCTCCCACCTTTTCCATCACCTTCCTTGCCACCCTCTCACCTGTGCATTTGCGGGTGGATTTGTCTGACTGGGTACCTGAGCTGGTCAGTTTGCAGTTAAAATTCTCTTCCCAGAACTCTGCAAACCAGATGTTCCGGCGGTTGTTCTCCAGGGAGCGTGTCATGAAGTACTGGTCAAATCCTGAGAGGGAGGGGGAGAAGGGTGGTAACCATAGCCAGCCACAGTCACCCTGTGTCCCTTCACCAATTGCTCACTTTGCAGCTAGGAATCGCCATTGAACCAACTTCTGGCCTGTGAGTTCAAAGACATCTGGGGACTCCTTGGTATTTTCTGATGTTTGCATCCTGATGTAAACCTGAGCCTCACTACATGAAATACTTTTATGCTGCACATTCTTTCCTGGTTAGGATGCTGCTGTGAACATGTAGTGGGTGGAGCTTCAGCAGCCACTTTGTAAATATGATGCCACAAGCATGAAGACTCAGCAACCACAGAGAGTGGTGAAACAGAAGGGAGGACAGAGCTCAGCGCTTTGAGAACATCATTGACTCATTGCCCCAAACCTGAAGTCTTGTGATGAAATGCTTTGATTGCTGAGACTATTCTCAGTCTAGTTTGCCACTTGCAACTGAATGCATTCTAAAAAAAGCCTGCGGAAAGGATGTGAGGGTGGATGTATACCCCAAGAGGTATTAGTGTGGGAGGCAGGGCTCAGTGTTATGAGGGTCCACACTTTACATATAGCCCTGAAGTCCCTCATCAAGTTATCTGCAGTTCATTCAGCCTTTGGGAAAATGAGCAATACTGTTGTAAAGTGGACATCCCTGCTAGATTCTTCCAGATATTCACAGATGGGATAGTGGGAAGGAAAAAGGGAGGGGCGGCCTCATTACTTTGAGCAACAGGACAGTAAGTCCCATCTCCTTGGTTTCTCTCCCACCCTCACCCTAAAATCATAATGTCTTCGACAGAATGAGGAATACAGGTGTTGAATTAAAAAATAAAACAAAACAAAAAGCACAAACTAAAAAACAATTTTTTTACCCTGTATGTTGGCTGTGCTTTTCCTCATTTGCTAACTCATTCAAACACTACTTGGAGGGATGTATTTACAGAATCTCAGAATCATAGAACTTGGGAATCTTAGAAGGAACCTGGATCACAGTATATTTTACCAATGGGGTAAATGAGTGCATCCAGAGGGATGGTGGAAAAGGATGGGGTGGGGGTAGGGGACAAAGTGGAGGAGGTCATCCCTACACTCACCATCAATGGAAGCTCTTTTGGGCAGGATAGTGATAGCCCCCACTGCCACGTCCTCCAGGTTCAGGATGGGTGAGATCTTGGCTCCCCAGCTATCTGAGCCAACCCACAGGAAATGGCCAGTCAGGTTGGCCTGGCGTGCAGCCTCGAGGACCCTCCTGGTACAAACAGGGCTGAGGGTGAATAAAGTCCTGAGATCTTCCTTCAACTTACCTCTAGTCAGTTCTCATTCTTCTCTCTCCATCTATCCCATTCCACATCACTCATCAGATCCTCATTGATCAGGAAAAATGGAGTATAGAGTGTTTAGAACACTTGCCCTGGGCTTCTGAGGTGGTCAGGGGTCCAACCAGGCCCTGGTCCGGGCTTGCCCTCTTGCTCCATGCACTATAATGCACTTCACACTGCCTGGAAGTAGGGCCACCTTTCTCTTACAGAGCCTCCTGCTGGCCCTGCCCCAGGGCTCCTTCCCTTTTGCTCATTTTCTGCACTTAGATCTGCCCACAGGTTTCCCCACTATGAATTATAAAAACAGGCATGTATTCTTGTGTGTTTTCCTAGCTAGACTTAGAGCATCTCCACTTAGAGCAGACCAGGCAGAGATTGCAGCAGGAA